CCTGGGGTTACGAGGGAGGAGAGGTGTTTGTCCCTGGGGGCCTGGGAGGGGCTGTGGGCTATCTAGTCTCTCCTGGGGCTCGGAGCCTGGCATAGGCAGTCACCCAAGGCCCACACTGCAGTGCCTGTCAGCGGTTGAGGCCAGTGGTATCTCTGGTGCCTTCCTCTGGGTTGGGGCCAGCTTGTCTCTGGGCTCTTTCACAGACTTTGCATTTAAACAACTTAATTTCCCTGTTAAAGGGCCCTAAAAGGCTTTCTGTACTACAAACCAAGTTAAGTGTTCTGGAGAGGCAGAGCACTTCAGCAGTGATGCCATACATGCAGCTGCTTCTGTCCTGCTTACAGGACCTGCATTGGGTTCTCTGTGAAGCCCCAGCCTTGGGGTGTGCCCATGGGGCTCGCTTTGCTATGTGTCTCCTTGCTCCCCTGTTTACCTTGGGCGTCCAGGTGACACAGACTGGCAAGCAGCACAGAGGATTGGCAGCCCAGCTCTGCTCACGGTGGTGAACTACTTCAGCCCTTGTTTTAGAATCAAATTATACTCTGGAAGCAGAAGACTGTGGGTTTTTAAGCACTGAACTCCTTAGTGCTCAGTTTGGCTAGTTCTGGTCAGTCAGAGATGTTTTGGTAGCCCAAGTGCCTGCAACACCTTTGATGTCTTTCCCTTGGTAGGAGACTTGTGGGGCAGGACTGTGCTGTGCAGCTCATGCTGAAGGTGAATTGAGGCCTGGAGAATTCATATAAAGGGGGTCATGGTTAGAGCAGTGAATTTAATGAAGGCTCTACAGGCCTTGGCCAGTCCTGAACGCCTCCTTTATCCTCCACATTCATACTGGGGAGAACAGCAGAAAAGCTCTTCAATTTCTTGTCCATCGAGTCATGTAACTTCTCTCTACAGATTTTTTTGGAGTTACAAGAAGTCAAAACAAACTTCTCACAGCCTCCCAGAATGGCAGACCAGAAGCGCCTTGCCTACTCCATCATCCAGTTTCTACATGACCAGCTACAGAATGGGGGTTTGTCTCCTGATGCTCAGGAGAGTTTGGAAGGTCGGTGGTTGTATGCGCCTCCCTGTTCATGCGTCTAGGTCTGTCAGCCCAAGCCATGGGGAAATTTGGACACTGTTATTCTCTTCTGCCTCTTACTTGGCTGGGCTGTCCTAACATCAAACCTTGCTCAAGATTTGAAATTAATTTGCCTTCTTGAGGAGATATCCAGGGCATTGGGGATGCTGATTGCTTATCTGATTTCTTAGTATCTCTTTTAAAAGCAGATTAGCTTGAGGAAGGGATATATACCTGGGATCAAAAGCCTTCCTGACCCTGAGTTTGCAACTTAGAAGTTTTATCTTAAATGAGATGGAGTCAGGAGGCTTGTAGTGTAAGATGAGACCTTTGTGGCTGTATGGAAGTGTTTTATACTTGCAGAGTGCTTTTCCTGTTCTGCTATCAAAATGCTTTTCCACAGCATGCTCTGGAGTATTTATACAGGCTTTTTCAGAGGGCTTCACTGGTAATAAGAGCACAGTGATCTTAAAAGATCCACTTAAGGAGCTTACACTTTAGTGTCTGTGGCACTGAGAGAGCACAGGCGTGTCTGCGGAGTGGTGGGTATGTTCCTGGGCAAGGCAGGAGAAGGTGGGAGGGAAGGGGTTGGGTGGAAGGAGAGGGTTATTTCTGATCCTTTTGGACTGTAAAATATGACAGGAGAGTCTTGAGCTCTGTTACGTTGCTTGGCTTCCCCTCTGTGCTGGGAACAGCTTCGTGATGGGGTGCCTGATGAGGGAGGAGGTGATCAGTTGGTGTCTGTGCACCTCTGCATGGCCACAGCACAGCTACATCTGGCAAGTGACCACTTTCTGAAACATGCAGATCTCCTTGCTCCTTGCCACCTGCAGCTGTGGGAAGGCTAATAAAGCCCTGGATTGGTTAACTTCTGCCCCCAGCACCCGTGCTGGAGTCCCCTGAGGGGATGAGAGTTGTGCCTGACTCAATCCAGGAGCTTGGTCTGCAGAGCCAATGTTTGAGGTTTTGGTGAAATTTAAGGGTATGGCCCAAATATCAAGTCTGGTGTTTAGAATTGTGTGGTTCAGGGTGGTTTTGTTTTCCTGGTATATTCAACAGTAAGAAATTCAGGTGCTGTGGGAGGAGGTTAAGCATTTAGATGGAGGGGGGAAAGCTAATTACCTGACTCTTCTTGTCCAGTGGCCATCCAGTGCCTGGAGACAGCATTTGGGGTCTCAATGGAAGACCAAGGCCTAGCTGTGTCCCAGACTCTTCCTGAAATATTTGAAGCTGCTGTGGGAAAGGTGAGTGAGTGGGTTTCCATTTAAGCAGCCAATATAATGAGCTCTGCTTGATTTTGGTGCTGTTGCTGCCCCCTTGGAGGTATGTAGGAGCGAAATGTTTTGGGCGTGACGAGCCAGCACTTGGGAAGGGGAGGGAGGGGGTGTAGAACATCTTGGTGGGAGTCCTTATTGCAGTGTTCTCCCTGTCCTTGTAAGGAGCCTGAACACATCAGAACAAATTCAGAGCCTGTCACCCCCTCTGAAGATGACATAGCTGAAGCTGAAAGACTCAAGACTGAAGGTAACCTCCTCTGGAGCTGGTGTATAATGAGGCTTAGATGATAATGGGGAGGGAGGCTTAATTCAGTCAGCACCTGGGGAATGCTCAGAATGGGGGAAAAACAAACAAATGGATCAACCCTTTCATTTCTACTTTTTTCTCTGCTTCTGCTCCAGGAGTGTGTGTAGGTTGGCATAATTTAGCTGCCACAGAGCCTAGATAGACAGCTGGGTCAGCATTTTCTCTTTGCACCCTGAGAAGCCAGCACTGCGTAGAACAAAGTATCCTTCCTGTTGAGCTCTCCTCTGTGTGTTGCCTTTTCTCTCCTGTGCAAGAGAGCAGGATTAGTGCTGAAGTACAATGGAGAGTTTTGAGCTGATGCAGTGCTGCTTCGGGGAGGCCCCAGGTGTGCTGAGGAGGGGCGACAGCTGAGGGTGCTAAGGGGGCTTACAGGATCAGGCAATCTGGAATTGCTGAGACATGGGTCCCCAGCTTGCTGCTGGACAGGACTCACACTTGCAAGCAGTTTGACCAGCAAAAGTTACAAGTGATTGGTTTCTCTCTTGTTCTATTTTCTTAAGTAGAACAGATCCAGGCCTGTTGCTTTTGTTCGTCCCCATTTTTCACTTGCTAATGAGCCTTTCTGCCATCTTAGGAAATGAACAAATGAAGGCAGAAAACTTTGAAGCTGCTGTGTCCTTCTATGGGAAGGCAATTGAATTGAATCCATCCAATGCTGTGTATTTCTGCAACAGGTACTGCTTACTTCTTTCTCTGCCCTTGTACACCTGTGGTTTTGTTCTTAGTACTTATGTTTAAGACTCTTGAATGGTCAAAGTCCTTTTTTTTTTTTTTTTTCCAGTTCTGTAGACTGCTTGTCCTGTTGCTTTCTCTTTGTATGGGTTTTTAAGCTCATAGTGACACACTTCCCTGTGCCTCCTGGCATCTCTGGATAGGATGCAAGTGTGGAAACAAACTCTTAGGCATTTGAGGAGATAAAAGGATGCCAAGAAATACTGTCTGCTCTCAAGCAATTGACCTGAAGTGGGACAGAGAGCCCAGACTTGAGAGGCTGTGTTGATAATAAAAACAAAGGAGTGAAATGAGATAAGTTGAAGGCTTGTTATTGAGAGTTCTCTAAGTTGATGTTTGTGAAATTTGGTATGGAAGCAAATTTTCTATTTTTCAGTTCTAAGCAAAACTGTTTATTTGAAAGTTGGTGGGAAGACAATTGTTGAATAAAACAGACTTTGAATCAGGATTTGGGTTTTTATGTGCTTATTGTGAGTACATACATACAGCTGGCTACATGAATAGCATGTGTGCTGATGACATGATGAGGTATTTCTTGGAGCAAGGAACTCCAGCTGGTGCTTTTAGCAAAGCTTTGCTGCATGAGGGTCAGTCTCAGGAGGTTTTGGACAGGTGCCCCTCAATAAGAGTTGTGAGACTGAGGCTTAAACGAGTGTCAGCTTCAAAACCAGTTTTCTGTCTTTTATGTGGAGTGTGGGGGGGAAATGGATAAAACGGTCATTATGAATAAAAAGTCAAGGCGTAAGGAAAGCTGAGAGAGATGGTCTGAGCTAGCAAGTGTGACACTTGCATGCCTCCCTGGAGCCCAGGCTCCTCCTGGAAAGTCCGTGAGCAGGAGTACGAGCCTAGATTGTTTGCAGTAAGAGCAGAATGTGGAGCTGGGTGTTTGGAAACCCTAGATAGGGTCTGGATTTACATCAAGTTTACGCTTGACTTTGCCTTGTACAACAGGGAGGGAACAGGAGTGACCTTGATGGGCATATTCAAGCTGATAACTCTTTTCTGTGCGTCTTTCTCTGTTCCCTCCAGAGCTGCTGCATACAGTAAACTAGGAAATTATGCTGGAGCAGTGAGAGACTGTGAAAGAGCTATAGCCATTGATCCAAACTACAGTAAAGCTTATGGCAGAATGGGGTAAGAGCAGGGGTTTTTGAGCCAGAATTTTAATCTTAAAAAGCCTAGTGGCAGTGATGCTACCAGTGGTGTTCTGCCCTGGAGTGCTGTGCAAAAATCCCTTGTGTTTCATCTCTGCTGGGGGTGGAAGATGACTGCAACTCCTTGTCTAACTCTTTTTACTTTATTTCCACTTTAATAGCTTGGCGCTCTCCAGTTTGAATAAACACACAGAAGCTGTCATTTACTACAAAAAAGCCCTGGAGCTGGATCCAGACAATGACACATATAAATCAAACCTTAAAATAGCTGAGCAGAAAATGAAGGAGACTCCTAGTCCAGTAAGTTCTGACACTAATGCTTGTTATACATGGGTAAGGTTAGGAGGAGGCTTTATGGCCTGGGTTGTGTTTAAAATACAAATTTTGTGTGTGGACAGAGGGGAGATGGTTGAGTCCTGCTGTGAACATTTCCATTAAAATCCAGAGAGGCTAACAGGCACCTTGGGCTTATTTGAAAGAGCTGGAAAATGAGGCTGATTAGGAGTGTTTAGAAACAGCCATTTTGCCTTAAGCACCTTTCTTAAAGTCACTACTCCTAAAATCTAGGGGTTTTTTAGTGACCTGGTAGCAATACTGGAAGGGCATTTTGTGTGGCTTTTTCTCACAAAGATTTTTTTTTTCTTAAGAAAAAAACCCTGGAGGTTTCCTAGCTGGAAAGCTGGTGACTGCATTGTTGTGCTCCATGCAGGACCATGTTAGTTTATCATTTTGAAGAGGATTTTGATTTTCTAAAGACTTTTCCAGTGCAAAGGTGACCAAGTGGATGTGCTTAACTTGGCAGTTGTAATGGGTTACAGCCATACATGGCTCATGTGGCTCAGCTGGTGAGAGGTGATCAGTAAATCATGTAACACAGCTGTCTGCCCTTTGACTCCCTGAGCCTAAACCCCCAAGGCTGCCTGACTTTACAGAGAGGGCATGAACAGAGCCTCTTCCTTTTGTCATGGTTTAAGGGCCAAATTCTGGTAACACTGGGAGTAAAGTGTTAATTTTCATTGTCATGTGCATTGGGAAGTGAGAGGATGTTGTCATCTGCCTGTGGTTTCTTTATTCTTACAGACCGGAGGTCCAGGAGGATTTGATTTAGCTGGTTTGCTGAACAACCCCGGCTTCATGAGTATGGTAAATGCAGACACAGCCTGTGGCCAGGCTGTATCTGGTCTGAGTGTTGCTCTGTTCAGGGTGAAATGTGTTGGTACCTGGTGTGGGGAGCTCCTCTGTCACTGTAGCAGATTTGTTTTCATTTTATTTCTTGGTTTTGGTGTTGCTGTGAGGAAACTGTGTTTGTATTTCCTTAAGGTCAAATTAAGAGCCAGTGACTTATTCACAGGCTGTTCCTTGTGATGTCCTGAATGTGGAAAGGGTGCCTGTTCTGCATTACTGGCCTTGTCTTGTGTGTTGCACTGTGCTTCTCTTTGCTATTTTTGTCCTATTGATCTGTTTCCAAGTATTTCTGCTTTCACTTTGTAGTTGAATGGCACAACATCTGCAAATCTACCCAGTTATTTCTGACTAAATAGGGTGTCATTTTTTTCTCTCCCCTCTTTAAATAGGCATCTAACCTAATGAACAATCCACAAGTACAACAGCTGTAAGTTTAATCTCATCTTGTATTTTCTCTTTGAATCCCTCATTTGAGGCTCTGTGTGTTTGGCATTTGCTGTAGGTCTGAACTGGGGGGAGGGCAGCCTCTAAACCAGTCCGGTTGCCTGAGCTGGTGTGTATTTTGAGTACTCTGGACCGTGCTGAAGAGGGATGTCAGTATGAATGTGTGCAGATGGGAGGTAGGAGAGATCATGGCACTGGAATTGGGTTTGGGTAGCTTGCAGTCAGTTTGGCTCTGCACAGTATTTGTGTGATCTGGAGACAGGATTTCACAGCTCCATCTTGATTAGAATGAGAATATTTTGATTCTTTATGCTACTGGATTATGAGGATCAATTCACAATGTTTGTGAGATCCTTAGACAATATAAAGCCATAAAATTAATAAGGCATGTACCTCTGCTGACCATTCTTTCAGAGCACAGGTAGGCGGTGAGTTAGACCTTCTGGAGCTCATCCTTTGGTGACCACAGGAGATAATTTGGCTAAAGGGCTGAACGTCGGCCACCATTTCCATTTGCTTCTGCCTGCTCCTTCCACTGCTGTTCTGCACCAGATGCAGCCTGAGGACCTCCAGAGGAAGGGGCTGTGTGTTCTGGGCTGCTCACCATGAGTGAGTCGGTGTTTAGGCTCTCCTGTCAGCAGATCTCTTGATGCAGAGCAAGCAAATGGCTTGCATGAGGAAGGGCAGCATTTTAATTAAACATAACTCAGGGCTTGCACATAAAAGGGGGAATCTTTAGGAATACAGTAGCTGCCACTGTTATAAACATTTCTACGTATTGTGCAGCTTAATGTTACAGTTACTCTGCCACAGTTAATGTACAGAAAATTGTCACAGAAGATGCCCTTGCAGATAATTTCATAATCTGCGTGGGAACATGTTCCCATTATGCTGACACTCCCCTCCCAGTGTAAACCAAACAATTTCTGATGCCTGCTGAGCCATGACTTATTTCCACAGCATGTCCGGGATGATTTCTGGTGGCCACAATGCCATGGGAGCAGCGGGCACCAGCCCCTCCACAAATGATCTCGCCAGCCTCATACAAGCGTGAGTAGGGAGCTGCGTGTTTCCCATCGCCTCAGTCAGGAAATGGATGTTGTTTTTTCTGACCAGAAGTGAAACTTTAATTTAACAGTTGAGGAAGGCTTCAATGTTGGGTGAAGTACTGCCTCTTCTGGTGATGTGAACTACTTGTTAGAGTTTTGACAGTCAGCTGTAAACAACTTGTGTGTGTGTGAGAGTGCTAAGAGGATGTTGCTTATTCTCCTTCAGGGGCCAGCAGTTCGCTCAGCAGATGCAGCAGCAGAATCCTGAACTAATAGAGCAGCTACGAAGCCAGATTAGGAGTCGAACTCCAAGTGCCAGTAACGAAGATCAGCAGGAATGAGCACTCCAGGTGAGGCTGTAGCTGGGAGTGCTGTTGTACTGCAGCCGGCTGAGTGGGGATTTATGTATTTGGCTGCAATATCTGGTTTGTGCCTTAATTTAGCAATTTGGTGTGTCTCCCCTCCATACAGACTGGGTTCTCTGTATCAGTACTGCTAGTACTGTGCCTCAGATGCAAGGCTCAGCCCTGAGGAGTGGTGAATAAGAACTTCCCTCACACATTGTGTCACTGACAAACAAGTTTCATCATCTAGCATTCACGGTGGTTAAAGGGATGCTTTATTTTCATAAAAAATTGAATTTGCAAATGTCTTGTCTTCCTGTCTCTGCAGCGCAGTCCGTGGGAACTATGTTCTTTGCTTTAAAAACTGGAAGCCATGTGCGTGTTGCCATTTCTTGAGTTGGAAGTGTCCAAGAGGGGGAAAAAAAATGGAAAAACAAAATACTTTATATGACCTGCATGTTAAAGACAGATTCATGCTTTCTCTCCTTAGTCTGTCCCTGCTTCTCCCCCTCAGCCTTTCCGTTAGTCTTTGTTTCTTCTGGAAGATCCAGCAAGCTGAACACAAACCAGCCTCAACAGTCTTTCTAAAGAAATTCAGAAAATTAACTACACTGTTACATTTCTATGTTATTTGCTACATGGGAATTTTTTAACCCGTTTTTGAAGAACGATGCACTCTTCACTACAGGATGTCTTCACTTTCCTGCCCACGTGCCACTTCTTTGAAGTGTTCAAGTCCTACCTAACCCCTGTCCTGCCCCGTTTAATCTTCCTGCCAGTTACAAGACTGTTGTGTTTGAACACTCTGGAGATCCTGGGATCTTCTTGCCTCCAGAACAGGGATTCTGTCAATTAGATTCAGTGCGTTTCTCATTCAGGTCTGTAGCAACATTGCCAGTGTTGTAATCCATGGGAGTTTGGTGGTCACCTCTCAAAGGTTAGTGTAAATGTGTCAGAGTTGGGACTGGCCAGTGCAACTACTTTAGCGAGCGTTTGCTCGTATGCTTCTTGGGGTTCTTTCCCAGTCCTGACAAAATTTGTCTAGTGTTTAGTAATTATGGCTATGTTGTCGGAATGATCCAATCTGTGAACTAGTCAGGTGGACATTAAGAAAGATATGTTTTTGGTGTTAAAAGGATTTTTTTCTTCTGTTTTTTTAATCTTTTATGCATGTGAGTAATCAGCCTGGTTGACTGTGCTAATGGTAGGCATAGAGGGTGTCTGAGTATAGAGTGGAAGGAATAAAAATGCTGCTTAGTCAGAAATCAAGTGGCTGCTGGCTCAACAATGGCAAGGAGTGATTATACCTCAGAATATAGTGTGGGAGACAAAGGGGAAAAAGCTCCTGTAGACAACTTGAGTGACCTGCAGCTTTCCACCCCTCTAGAGTTTACCCTTGGGTGAACAGAAAGCTCTGGCAAATTCCCCTAGAAGTCACTAGTTGAGGCCAGAGATTTTTATATTGACCTCAGAATTGTTTTGTTTTTTTTTTAAAGTAGTTATTTGGTTGTGGTGGGGAAGGCGTGTTTGTGGCTGACTGCTGGGCAAAAAGCATCTGGTCTGAGAGTGCGAGATGCAAAACGCCCTTTCAGGAGACCTGGTGGTATGAGTGAGCAGGTATATCTGAAGACTAATATCAAGGAAAAAAAAGATTTGTAAATGCTTCATAAAGTAATATGTGGTTAATGTAACTTGTGAAGAATAAAATACTTGGACACTTTCTTTGTTATCCCTCTTGCCCAGATGACTGAAGCAAAACCCTCAGGGTTGTGTCAGGCTTCGGTGCCTGTGTCCAGCACTGACCACAGAGACTTGTGCAGGGTCAGAGCTCTGCTGCCTCGGGGACCTTCAGTGACTGGCAAAACCTCCTGGTGGGTTTTGTCTGCTTCTCCCAGGTTTTTCTTATTTCTGTTGAAATGCTGCTCCTGTGTATTTCTGCAGCAAAGAAGTAGCAAATCTTTCTTTCCATTTCTGCTCCCTTTAAGTTCTCTCCAGCTGGTTTTTGTAAGCTAATAAAAGGAGAAGTTTCAGACTGTGGGACAGTGTGGGAAGAAAAAGTTCAAGAATTGTGCCAGAGGAGGGAACTGCAGGGATTTTTTCCTCCCTCTTCAGATTATTTCAGCACTGTTTCCTTTCCTTACCCTGCTGTAGATCCATTTCCTTATCTCTCTCAATGGTTTCCTTTTTATATCCCTGCCTTCAAGGTGGAAGTGCTCCTGCCCTTGTAAGGCTGTGGCTGGTCCTCAATGGAGGAAGAAAAATCAGCTGGGTTTTGGTGGTTTTGCTGAAAGCAGGTGCTGGTGGTAGAGTGTGTTTCCTTCCATACTCCCACATCTAACCCCTCAGGGGAGCATACTGACAGCTGTGGTGGGTTGACCCTGGCT